TATTATCCATCCATCCACACTGTACTGGGTCCCAAGGGCATTAAGCTTTTTAACCAAGGAATAAAATCATCAACTTTCCCTTGGAAAGTATTTCTCCAGCTGGGTAAGCTGAGTGGAGTGGCAAGGAGCTCCCCCGAGGGAAAGGCAGCCAAGTACGAACCTCCTGAGGTAACCTAGGAAAGAGAGATGGGGAAGGCATGGGAGAGCGAGGGAGGAGGTGATGAAGATAGTAGGTGAAATCTGTAGGATTTGTTCCTGGTGAGGATGTGGAGATGGAGGAGAGCGTGGTGTCAAGGTGGACTACCGGTTCCCAGCTTCGGTGACAAGATCGACCTGGATGCTGCCAACCACACAATAAGCAGGGTCACCGTTATTTAGGGGGAGAAGGTTATGGGTTTGGTTTTGGTCGGTGTGAGTTGAAGGTCACTGTGAAACAGCCTAGTGATGATGGTGAGCGGATAGTTGGATTTAAGAGTGAGAAGGTCTGGAAAGTAGCCTGAGCTTGGGATGGAGATGGGTGATTACCTCCCTCTGAGGGGTGTTTGAAGCCACTGGGGTAGCTCCCATCATCCAGGGATCTAGGGATAAAATGTAGAGCAGGAAGAGGGGGCCAGAGCCAGGAGTTGAGGAGTATGGGCATTGAAGGGAGGTCCCCTGGAAGAAGTAAAGCAATGCCCAGAGGCAGGAAAGCAAGCAAGAAAGCTGGCATCACAGAAGCTAAGGGCCTCAGGAAGGTCCGAGGGAGGTGGGGGAGCAGCTCCAGCAGGGGTGTTGGGGATAATGTGGCCACATTTTGCAGATTCGGTCTGTGCGGTGTCACAGAAGAGAGAGCTCGCCCACTCGGCTCTCGCAGAGCCAAGCACTGGACATTGAGCATCGAGGTGGAGAAGTGTTGGTTATGTGATTGATGGATGGCGTCACCCAGGAGAACGGGAAGCTAAGGCTCAAAGGCCAGAACTCCCCAGGGCATGTAGGTTACAGATTCTACAGGGCAAAACCACAAGACGTCAAGAGTTAGGGGCTTGCGCCCTAACCGGTTTGGCTCAGTGGATAGAGCGTCAGCCAGCAGACTGATGCATCCCAGGTTCAATTCTGGTCAAGGGCATGTACCTTGGTTTTGGGCACCTCCCCAGTAGGGGGTGTGCAGGAGGCAGCTGATTGCAGTTTCTCTCCCATCGATGTTACTATCTATCCCTCTCCCTTCCTCTCTGTAAAAACAAACAAACAAACAAACAAACAAATCATGCATGGAGCTGATTTGTCAGAGGTGAGGTGAGGGTAAAGAATCATTTCTTCAGGTCTTGAGGACAGTTTGGAGGTCTGTTCCCATGTCCCTGTGTCTAGTCCCATGGGAAGGGAGCCAGGGGGTCGTTCCACCTTGGGGCTCAGGAGCTGAAACATAACTTAGGCCTTAGATCGGGATGTGATCTTTAGCCTGCCGGAGTTTTGGACTATGTGACCATGTGGCCAACGTATGTCTGAGTGCAGGATGGCTATGATAAGGAAAACCTATAGCTTCACCCTACCATTTACTAAGCATCCTGTCTTCTGCTGCCTCGGGAGTTGCTGATTGTCTGGGGAAGGGGGGAGGCTAGATCTTGGGGTGGATGGGGGGGGGAGGGAAAGAGGGATGATTTCTAGAGCTAGGATTGAAAACTAAATTTAACCTGTCATAAGGACTCCCCATTTCACTTGAATGGGAAGACATTAGAACAATGACTAACAAAGAAGAGAAAGGCCTTTAGTGGGACGTCTACTGTGAGCCAGGCACCGCATATGTTATCTCTTTTGATCCCTGCCATCTGTAGTGGGGGGCAGGAGATAATTTCTGTTCTTGCCTCTATAATAAGGACATTGAGGCTCAAGGAGGTGATACCTTGGTCAAGCCATACAGAACTGGGGCCAGGACCCTCTTTGCCTGGATTAAACACCCTTTTTCTGATGGACGATGCTGCCTTCCTTCTACCTGGCCGGTGAATGCGCAGCCTGCCCTTTCCACTCCTCGTGTGCCACATGGAAGCGTCACCAATCCCTCCTCCTGGGCCTCACCTCCGACCAGCAGGAGCCCTGCCTGGAGCCAGAGCTGAGGGAGGAGGAGGAGGAGGAGGAGGGGAGTCCCCAGCCTGGAGCCATCCGTCTGCTGGCTGGTGACACGACACCAGGGCCCGGCAGAATAGCAAGCTTGTTCGCTCTTGTCTGGCTGTTAGTGGTGATGTATGAATAAGCAAAGAAGACAGCTTCATTTTCATAAGTTAACTTGTGCCTGGAGGAAGGAATACGGGGAGCAGTGCACTTCATCATCACCGCAGGGCCGCACGGAGAACAATGACAGAGCCTTTCCTGTTAGTCACGGTGCTTTGTTGTAATGACTCCTGAGAAGACGAGATGATGGTGAGGATGCTGAGAGGCAGAGGGAGGGAGGCGGCTCACAGGAACCCGGGTCCTCTCCCCAGGAGGAACCCCTGGGAGGCTGCCTCTAGGTGGCTGTCAGGCCCAGGGTGAGGTGTAGACACGGACCTCTGCAGACCGGGGTGTGGATGCCACGTGGCTGATGAGCTGGGATGTGGCGGAGCTGTGAGAGAGGACCTGTCCCATCTGGCGGGGGACTGAGGGACTCTGCCTAGACAGGAGTTGTGAGGCAGCACCGTTATCAGAAAAGTTTTAAGGGAAACTTGGGAGTTAGGAAGTCTGTGTGAAGGGGAAGGGCAGGGGGGCCGGCAGTGTGGGACGGCAGGTGGTACATGACTGCGGCCAAGATGTGGAACGGGAATCGCCCACCTTCCCCCACAGAGTCAGTCACCAGGCCCTCCCCTCCTCTGGCCTGTCCGTGTCTCTGTCACCGCAGGTACTGCACAGCTTCATAATAGTTCATCTGTCTCCTCTTCCAGCTGCCTGTAGAGCAAGGGCTATATTTTGTTTGTCTGGATTCCTTAGTGTTTTGTGCCGTGTCTGACACACAGCAAACTCTCAATCGATAGTCAACTGAACCAACGTCAAGGTAGAGTAGGGATCATGTCAGCTAAGGGAGGGAGGAGACGGCTGAGACTGCCCAAGCCTGAAGCCAAGCAGACGGGGCGGTATATAGAGCCGGGAATTCTGGGTGTGATGATAAGAGTAAAGGCCTACTGAACATTTGACTACTTTCTAGGCATTGTCAGTGGTGATGTGTGTGTCCATTCTGAGCACATGGCACCTTCATCATGCCCCCCCAAAATTGTAGCATCAACCCAGGGACATCAGGAATTATGAGCCCGCTCCCCAGGGACCCCACATTGCCTGTGTCACAGCCTCTGGGCTCTCTGATGAGGGCGCAGCTTGAGGACTGGGCGCCCAGCTCTCTGCGCTTGAGGGCGCTGTGCCCTTCAGATCTGAGTGTTCTGCACCGGCATCCCGGGCTTGTTGCGTGTGGAATGGAGAGCTCTCGGCTTCCTGAATCGGTGCTGTGTTGTTTCGGGGGGATCCTACAAGTTTTGAATATGATCATGCGGAATGACAAAGTGGGTGATAGTATTTTCCCTGCCTCTAATTTATGTATTTGTGCTGGGGTGTTGATTTAGATAGGAGCTCAATAAATTGATCAAATAAATTACAGCAAACCCACACAGCGTCGTTTGAGGGAGCTGTCACCACACTGAGGAGGCTCTATATCACCCAGTGCCGTGTTCCCGGGGAGCCGCTGCTCTCCTACCAGCAGGGGGCTTCCGTGCGGTCAGGAAGGTCTTCATTCCTCGGGTCGGCCAACAGCGTAAGGATGTTAATTCCAGAAGGCAGTAGTTAGCTATAGAAGACAGTGGTTATTAGTCATGAGACCTTTAGCACCTTATTTAGACTTTCTAAGCCTCGTTTCTCTTTGTATAAGATGTGGATTTATGCCCTGGCCAGTTTGGCTCACTGGATAGAACGTCTGCCTACAGACTGAAGGGTCCCGGGTTCAATTCTGGTCAAAGTCACATACTTCAGTTGCAGGCTCGATCCTCAGCCCTTATTGAGCCTTTTCAGGGGGACAACCAACCCATATGTCTCTCTCACATCATTGTTTCTCTGTCTCTCTCCCTCCCTTCCTTGTCTCTCACTGTCTCTAAAAAATCAATGGAAAAATATCCTCAGGTGAGGATAAACAACAACAACAAAAGATGTGGATTTATAACTTCCATTATAAACCTTGGGTGTCAGGCAAATAGAGAAGTCTATGCCGGTTCCATCACTCGCTGTGCAAACCTCAGCCCTATGTGAGCCTCAGTTTCCTAGTCTGTAAAATGGTATTGATTCTAAGAAAACACCTTGGCGTGCACGATTAGGTTGTCCAATGGAAGGCAGTTGGGTCTGATGCCTGACTAACCCTCCTTACAAGGCTCAGGGATTTGCTCTGGGGACAGAGAAGCAGTTGTTCCTGCATAAAACACTCCTGAGTTGATGTCACATTGGCATGAGGCTGGTGGACAGTGAGAGTAAAATCACGGCGAGAGGTGGCCAGGAGCTGGCTCTTCTCTGTAGGTCCTGTCTCATTAAACAAGGCTCGCTTCTTTCTCTGACGTGAGGAAATGATCTCTACTCATGCCCAGGCCAGCGAATTAGTATATAATGGGAAACATTAGGACCGGAACACTGGAAGCATAGTATGTCGATAACTATGTGTTGCAAGAGGTAAGGGAGGGAGGGATGGATGGATGGATGGATGGATGGATGGATGGATGGATGGTCTGGGATTCTGGCTTTTTTGCATATTAACTGTGTGGCCTTGGGCAACTTAACTAGCAACTCTGGGCAGCCTCCATTTTTCCTCCATAAAATGGGGATACGAAAAATAGATGGGCTGCCTACGTGTGAGAATTAAACAGGTTAACACAAGTCAAGCACTTAGGTCAGAGCCTGGCAGCCGATAAAAACTCCGAATAATGAAAGCTCCTGCCACGATTTGCCGTTACTCTGCCTCCTGTTCCGCACTCGCTGACCCACTGCTCGGCCTCTTTGAAGACCTTTGCATTCTCTGTCCCTCACAGGCCAGCAGGTCCTGGGCTTGGTGGAGAACCAGAGCGACTGGTACCTGGGGAACCTGTGGAAGAATCACCGCCCTTGGCCCGCCCTTGGAAGGGGCTACAATACAGGTAGGTCATGAGGGGCGGAGAGGGCGGGTTACAAAGGGCAATATGAGGACTCGTGCTCCCTCCGTGGGGAGAGGAGGTGAGCCACAGCACAGGTGAGGCCACCTGGTGGCCTGGGAGCCTTCCAGCCCTCTCTCGGTGCTGCCCCTACAGGCCAAGTAGCAGTGGGACCATGGTGTCTGCGGGAGTCTCACCACAAAGCCCCTGACCTTCAGGGCAGACCCTGGGTCTCTATGAGTGTGACCTGTGCGTGCCTTGGCTCTGTTACTATAGACTAGAGATCACTCCGCAGTGACAAGCCCAGCGTCTCAGTTTCTTTACACAACAGAAACCTATCTTCCTCGCTCACATGCCATGTCCATGTTAGGTGGGTGGGACCGGTGCCACCGTCAGCATTCGGGGTTCCCCTGGATGGGGACTAACTGGCACAGGGAGCGAAGTAGCAGGTGACCCATTGGCTCTGAAGGCATCTGGTCCGATGTGACGTGCTTTCTGCTAATATGTCATTGGCTACAGCATGTCAATGCCCACCTTCACAGGGTGTAACCTGGCCACGTGCCCGGAGGAGGAAAGGCAGAAATGTTAGGTAATTGGTGCTCAGGAATGCCACAGCCATTAAACACCATGTGTCTGAAATCAAGTCCATTCGTCTCCCCTGTTGCTAGTCCCCAACTTGTGTCTCCTTTTTTCTTTCTATCTGTTAATAGTAGCATTCATGCTCATTCATTCTTTGTTCACCTCTGTCTGTTGAATGCTTCCTGTGCACTAGGCCCAGTGCTGCGGGGGCCAGACACAGCCTGGGACCTCATGGAGCATGTAATCCAGGAAGCCAGGGCAGCCCCTCCCCTTAGGCTCAGGTCCTGCCAGTGTCTGTCTTTAAAACACTCTGGATCCTTCTGCCTTCTTTCCTCCGTCCTCTTTGCCGCAGCTTTGGGCCCCTGTTCTCAGAGGATGTAGAACCAGGACCTGTGCCAGGACTAGAACTTGGAGCTCAGGGAGCAGTCGGGTGGGGCGGGCCAGCTGGAGCCTGGCCTCTAAAACCAGCTGTCCTGGGTGGGGACCAGTGTCCTCGGGGGATGGCGCCACCTGGAGGTGATGGGTGAAACTGTCCTGCAGTTCACTCTGGGAGCCCAGGGTCCAACTCTAGAGAGGTCAAACACAGGATCCCAGAGGCCAAAGGAAAAAGGAGGAGAATCAAGCTTCCAGAGGTGAGAGTTCAGAGATGGGGTCAGAGTCGGGGTCAAAGCTGGACTAGGGCGAGGAAAGAAAGGTCCAGCATCGATGTCCTGAGCAGCAGAGGTGGCAGGTAGGGAGCCCTGTTTGAAGGCCATCCTTCCACATGGGACGTCCCTTTGCTGACATTTGCCACAGTAACCACGCACGCCCCCTGTCTCATTTTCCCCTAACACCTACCAGGCGTTAGTTATAGCCTGAAGAGGTTACAAGTGAAGAATTTTCACCACCTGCCCCTTCGTCTACCTCCTGGAGGCCCCCCTGGCTGTGCCGGGCATTAACCCTTGAGTTGCAGGATGGTGGGGAATTCTGGGGAGTCCCTGAGAGGAGCGGAGGTGGGAGGGGACCCACGGGGCTCAGAGCAGCGGCTCTCTGTAGCCAGTGTGGGAGTATTGCAGTACTTTGTTAATGGTGAGGGCAGGGCCCTGCATACCAGCTGGGCCCTGGCCGGGCACGGTGCCAGGTGCTTCGTAGGTGTTAATCTCATTTGATCCGCACACTAACCCCAGGAGGCAGGTGCTATTCTTATCTCTATTTTATAAGCTGCAAACAAACGCTTAGACAGTTGACACATAAGTAAGGGGCCTGCAGTGTTAACGACGAGCTAAAACGTCCCAGCGTGAGTTGTGTGGTTTCGGGATCAAGAATCCTTTTAGAAAATGCAGAATCCTCCACTCTGCCCTTAAAGGGTCTCGCCGGGGCTTGGCAAGGAACCTGCCCTGGAAGAAGCATCCAGGAAGTTTCCGGAGCAGAAGGTCCAGATCTGCTCTGTCTTGCCTTCCAGCCAGTCCTCCCAGGGCCTCTCTGCTCAGTGCACGAAGCCGGACCTTTTAGGAACCACAGTGGGCAAGTTGCCAAACTCCCGTTTCTCTTTTTGAGGGTGAGGCTCTGACCTGGACGTTATCAAACTGTCAGAGGTCCGAGCCTCCTCCTGGACACTTGTGCCCCTTTTCTGAATCAGAGCACCTGTTCATAACATCAGCTTTCAGGCCCTCACCCAGAGATAGTGGATCTGAATCTGAAGCGATGAGGCCAGGCAGCTGTTATGTTAAACACACCCCCTCCCTGGCTCTGATGCATGCGAACGTTTGAGAACCTCGTGCAGGCTTTTATTGCCGTTTGCACATCAAGCTCAAATTGGACTGGAGTTCAACTGAAAAGCCCCATGAATGACGATTCGGCCAAAGGGTCCCCATTCTGGACGTCGGTAGGAGATTTATTGCGCCTGAAGCACAGGCATTATATTTATCTCTGGTGAGTTGTCTCTGATTTAGGCCAATCTTTGCATCATTTTATTTGACCCCATTTTAGTTCTCTGCTCAGGGTCATGCACAAAAATAACGAAAATGCCTTGTTTATCCCGTGGCCATGTCCCATTTTTTGTAACATGCTTTGAACGCCTCTTTTACAGTCCTGGGATAAAATACATAGATTACCTATATGATTACACTGTTTACATATATAATTTTCCAAAAATCAATCTAGTGCCCTGACTGTAATATAAAGAAGAAATGAAAGGAAATTAATCTATATATATAAAAGGCTAATATGCAAAGTGTCCCCCTCGGGAGTTCAACCAGGAGACCGGGAGCTCGATCGCTTGCTATGATGTGCGCTGACCACCAGGGGGCGGCACGGAACCAAGGAAGGCCCCAGCCAGCAGCCAGAAGGCTCCAATCAACCCAAATCGCTGGCCAGGCATAAGGACCCTACCCGTGCACTAATTTCATGCACCGGGCCTCTAGTTTACTATAAAATAATATTGACTTCAGTGTGTAATTGCTCAGGCTTGGCAACTGTAGGAGACCTAGTGAGGTGGTCAGAGGCTACCATGCTGGTGTTCGGGACAGACAACATTAAATATTTTTTTACAACAATCCATATCCATATTCTTTCATAAAAGGATAAATAGTCAAGAAATGCAGTGATGTGCAGGAGCTGTGGTTTGTGAGAGCCCATTTTTAAATTCTCAGGAAATGTGAGATCTGGTTATTAAGCATAGCGACTATTAAAAGTCAAATTATATAAACTTACCAGTAAATGATTTTTAAAAAAAGGTAATAAATACTCAACACTCATTACTTCCTAGTCATATTCCTATTATCTGTGCTTTTAAGGTTATTACATCTGCTGTATCTGTATGGTGGGAATACTGTGGAATGATGAGCTACTGCACATCTCTCCCAGCTCCGTTCAGTGACATTGCATTAGTAGCTTGAAATTTGCCAGTGTGGGAGTATTTACACCATGGAAATTGGCAGACACTACAAATCAGGGCTTTTCTTTCTTTCTTTTCAGAAATCTAATTGTTAAACTTTTACCAGCATACCACTGAAATATAGTAATATATGAGATTGCCTCCCCCCATCACTTTCCCCAAACTTAAATACTGTAGCAGTTTGCAGTATATTCTTGACTTTCCTCTTTTCACATATGTAATTATCTATTTCTCTCTATATATGCATCTCCTTTTTCATTGTCACATGTGCTTTTTACTTCAAAACAAAATGTTGGGTATCTCTCTACATTGGTACATAAAGTTGTATTTTCTTTCTTTTTAAGGACTGTGCATAGTTTTTCCATTTGCTGAATGTACCATAATTTCTTTTATTTCCTATTAATCGGTGTTTTAGTTTCTAGGTTTTCCCCCTACCTATTATAAACCACACCACACATAAACATCCTTTATATTCATATTTGTTGGCTTATGCAAGTATTTATACACAATGGAGCCTAAGAAGTGGTATTGATCTAACAAATATTATAGATATTAAAATTTTTCATAGGCTAGAAAATAGCAAATGTGTCATGGGTCAGGTAGATAAAATTTTTAAGCAATATTTATTTATTAAATACTAATTACATTTAATTAATTACATTTTGATTAAAATTTAATATTTATTTAAAATAACTATATTTTAAAAAGTAAACCACTTCTAAACTAAACGGGGTTGTGTGGATATGTGTGTGTGTTATGTGTTTGTTTTCTGTACTGGAAATAGTCTAAATTGCAAAGGACAGCCTCCAGAACCATGAGAAAATGATTTCTGTTGCTTGCACTCACCCAGTCTGTGTCCTTTTATTACTGAACCACCTAACGCAGAAACCTCACTTCAGCTTTTGTTGATGCAGACAGATGCTCTCTGACTAAAAGGGCCAGCCAGGCCTCGGAAGCCATGAAGCCCGGGCCAGGGCCCGGGGGAAGCAGAGCCCTTTCCTTGCGATGGATGGGCCACTCTCCGTGGCTCTCACACTTCAGCACGGGGACTCAATGACTCGCATGGCTACCGTGGGCACAAGGGAAAGCCATTTCCTGAGAATGTCGCTGCCCCCCTCTGCTGACCTGTGCAAGGTCAGGGATTCGGTCCACTCTGGCCTTAGCATAGCAAGAGCTAAGGAGCTAAGGAGCGTGACCCAGCCATCCCGATACCTGTGCGGCTGGTTCCGTCTGCAGTAAAAGGGAAAGAAGAGGGGAGATGATCCTAAATCTTCCTGCCAACAAGAACATAATCTGGCCTTCATCCAGTGCACGGATGCTTTGAAGACTCGTGTACGATGAGAAGAGGCATCTGGCTTCGGGAGGTCTCTCAAGGTCACGGTGCCCATCTCTGAGGTGTGACTTGTGCATTCATGTGCATTAGCTCACGTAATCCCCACTTTACAGAGAAGCCCATGGAGGTGCAGAGGAGCCCATGGAGGTGCAGAGAGGCTAATTGGTGTCAGGAGTTAGCAGAGCCAGTAAATGACAGAGCCCAGTCCCTTCTTGGGGCCTCA